ACACACACACACACACACACACACACACACACACACACACACACACACACACACACACACACACGAGCACGCACAGCACAGAACATAAGCATTTCCTCCATACGGGTCCGTAATTCTTAGATAGCCGATGTGCACGCTGATCCCTCTGTGCTTCTTCATTTCATCCCACACAGACGGACTTCTCATTTAACTGATCTGCACGTGGACGACTTTGGGCTTCTCCGGTTCCTTCGGCGGCATCTTGGGCACCGTCACGGTGAGTACGCCATCTTTGCACTGCGCGCCAACTTTGTCAAGTTCGGCGTTGTCCGGCAGTGTGAAACGGCGCATGAACTTGCCCGTGCTGCGTTCGATGCGGTGGTACTTGTCGCCAGCAGCCTCTCCCGTCTTCGTCTCGCGATGGCGCTCTCCGCTGATGACCAGCGTGTTGCCGTTGTCAAGCTGCACCTTCACCTCCTCGCGACTGAGTCCCGGCAAGTCCGCCACAAACTGATACGCCGTCGGAGTCTCCTTCACGTCCACCGCGGTGTTGGCCATGGCACGCGATTCCCTGACGAACGTGCGGCCGGGCTCGTCCAGCATGCGGAACGTCTCGTCGCCCAGCGACATCATCTGCCGCATGGAGTTCGGCATCGCCCACAAACTCGCATCTCGGGAGTAGAACGGAGACAGCGCCATGCGCGGAGGAGAAGTGACGTGATAGGAGTAGCAGCAGGAATGGCGAGATAGGAGGAACAAGAAAAGGTCTGAGTTGGGAACTCCAGCAGACGATGCTAACTGTCTCGAGAGGTTGTATTCCGACAGTGCATGATGTGACTGCGATATCAAGAGACCCGTCGACTTGGAAGAGACAGAGGTTACGGACAGCAAGTGTTGGTATGGGTCCGCGCAGAAGTGAAACTGTGAAAGAGCGATGGCTACTTCAGTCTTCGAAGAATTTGTGTCGCAAGGAGCTATCGCGATCTAAATCGCTCTCTCTCTCTCTCTCTCTCTCTCTCTCTCTCTCTCTCTCTCTCTGTGTGTGTGTGTGTGTGTGTGTGTGTGTGTGTGTGTGTGTGTGTGTGTGAGAGAGAGAACAAGATGCGCAGCTATGGTCGTGAAGAAGGCAGCCCGAAAATGTACTTGCTCACCACACTGCAATAGTTGAGATCATCGGAATGACATGCGATCTGTGGTATGTAGGAATAGAGGTGGTATTTATGAGTTTGTGGAACGTGGAAATCAAACATTACAGAGGAGATCGGCGTGGCCCTTGCGCAAGGATGACTGTCACAACAAGCTATCACTGGAGAAACAAAGAAAGAAAAATGGGCTCATTCCGGGATGACGAAGGGCGCAGAGCCGACGTCAGTGTTGCAGGGGCGAGGTCGCACTCGCTAGCGAAGAGAATTTGGATTGAACCCCTGAATCTGGACCTGTTTTGTGGAGAGTTGGAGAAAATATCGATTGAAGCTTCTTCTTTGCATCTCTGCATAAAAAGCATCCAGATTCAGCCAGCTAAACGTAATCCATCCAATCGTCGTTGCTCGTTGGACCTCACTCCAACAGGAGCACAGAGGAATAACATCCACCTCTGCCCCTCAACCACCGACGTCGATGCACTCCGCCTCCGCCATGAGCGGCTTTGGATGGCTCTTCACATGCGGCTGGCCGATTCGTTTGTACTTGGTCTGATCTTTCGAGAATGTACTTCCATCCTCCCCCGCGCACAACGCACCCTCATTTTGGCTGTACCCGACAGGGAAATATAGGTTGTATACATTCATTATCAGGGCGCGTTATGTTCGGGGCAAGACAGTAGCCTCTCGATTGTCGAAGGAGTTGCTATGGCGGATCTAGAATTCCAGATGCCTACGGTTGGTTCTAGGAGTCATGTTTTTTTTTTTTTTTTTTTTTGAAGAAAATTTTGGAAGAATCATCAGCTTTTATTACAAATGAAAGGAGGCCGGGAATTCCTCACAAACAACCCGGAAGATATAAAACCAATAGCCCTAATTGGGCTGTTGCTGGAAAGCGGGTCCAGCTTCCCTTCCTTCCACTGGTCTACCCTCATCTTCCAAAATCCCTTGCAGCTCAAAATAATTTCATCGAGAAACAAGACACTGTCCTTGTTGGTGCTCTAGTTCAGTAAAGTTCACTCTGAGGCAACTAGCAGGTCATTGCAGTGTCGGACTACTATCGATTCATGCTCAGTTGCCTAAATCGGCAGTGTTCCTGTCTGCCAGGATCTACATAAAGGGCTAAACCTTCACAACTCTGTCCAAAGCGTTGTAAAGAGCCTTTGTTGCCTAGACAGGTTTCCCACCACGCACCCAATGGGTACAACTCTAGTTTGCTCTTTACCAGGTCTCTCTTACCACCAGACCAGTGGAGTTCCCGCTGCCTCTTGTTGCACTCTCACTGCTCCTCGAGGTTTTTCTGAGAATCACCGTGAAGAGAGGAGGCCGGCAAGCGTCCGGTAGCGCCGCGCCAGCGCTAAGTTTGCGCTAATTCAGAACTCGAATGTAGCGGAGCCTTAGCGCTCCCGGCCGGCCGGCACTAGGTGGCGAAGTATGCTCGTTGAGTCCGGTGGTCACGAGTTTTGGAAAGATGGGTGTCTCGGTTGGTAGAGGACATGGCAGAGCCATGTCTTCGCTTGCTCATACTCCAACCTGCTCCTTGATTGGAGGGGGAGTGCCTTTGCACTCATGGGTATGGGCTCCACCCGATCTCCTCTTCTACCTCACCTAATTTACCTAATTTACCTATCTCACCTATTTCAGTTAATGCCTAAACAAACTCACGGGACTACCAGTAGCAGTGCCTCGAAGAGCAGTGAGAGCGCGACAAGAGGCAGTGGGAAATCTATTGGCCTGGTGGTAAGAGTCTAAAAGAGACCTGGTAAAGAGCGAACCTGGACAATGAGGATGAGAGGGCAGCCTGGACACTGATGAGGGACTGGTTGGCTCTCCGTAGAAAACATTGGCCTCGTTTTCTTGTTGTTCTCTAGAATAGTCTAACCTCGGCGCTGTTGTCTTTCGGTCGCATTTTAGGGCACCAACCCGCGGTGTATTGTGGTGTCGTGAATTCCGTGAAAAGTGAAACTCATATTGTTCTTTTGGTTCGGTTACATGCATCGCCTACTTGCATCGCCCTTAGTGTTTCGTTTTTTTTTTTTTTTTTTTTTTTGAGACTCACGCAATGGAAACAGTTCGGATATAGTAATGGGCTAGAGTATTGTGGGTGTGTAGGAAGTTGGTCGTTTTTGGTTTTTGAGGTTCGAAAGTTCGTAGTGGTTTAGGATGAAATTTACGGGACTACCAGTAGTAGTGCCTCGAGGAGCAGTGAGAGTGCAACAAGAGGCCGTGGGAACTCTACTGGTTTGGTGGTAAGAGAGACCTGGTAAAGAGCAAACTAGAGTTGTATCCATGGCGTGCGTGGTGGGAAACCCGTCTAGGCAACAAAGGCTCTTTACAGCGTTTTGGGCAGAGATGACGAGAGGGTAACCCTAATGATTGTTCTTCCTTCCAAATTTCTCATGTAATGTAAATGGTTCGGATACAGTAATGGGCTATAGTATTGTGGGCATGTCGTAATTCGGTCTATACTGGTTTTGAGGTTGGACAGCTTGCAGTGGTATAGGGTGAAACTCACGGGACTAGCAGTAGCAGGGCCTCGAGGAGCAGTGACAGTGCTACAAGAGGCAGTGGGAACTCTACTGGCCTGGTGGTAAGAGAGACCTAGTAAAGAGCAAACTAGAGTTGTATCGATTGGGTGCGTGGTGGGAAACCCGTCTAGGCGACGAAGGCTCTTTACAGTGTTTGGGACGGGGATGACGAGAGGGCAGCCTTGACACTGATGAGGGGCTGGTTATCTGCTTGTAGATCTAGAAGGTTGGGCGTTATCTTTGTGGCTATATTTTCTACGGATTTTTGTTGTTCTCTCGGTTAGTATAATCTTTGTGCTGCTGTTTTCAGTCGTATTCTAGGGCAACGCCATCCCCTGGAATGTTGCTGGTTCGTGAATTTGGTGGTAAGTAACCCTTAGTGTTTCGTTCTTAGATACACGAAATGTAAACAGTTCAGCTATAGTATTGTGGGTGTGTAGGAATTTGGCCTTATTTGATTTTTGAAGTTGGAAACTTCACAGTGGTTTAGGGTGAATTTTACGGGGATCATGGGTTCTTTCTTGACCAGTGCCCAAATCCGGAAAGGGAGAAAGACTTCCGAGTGTATACTTTCACTATCTCCGGAAAGATACACTCACCCTTTCAAACATCCCACCACTACCGTCTTCCCCCGAACATTGCGCACCCTCATTTTGCCTGTACCGGACCGGACAAATTTCTTCTATACATACGTGATCCGGGTGCGATATGTTCGGAGGGAAGCCGGTAGTGCGCCAAGGCGCGCGGTCGGAACTTTCCAGCTTTTTTTTTTTTTTTTTTTTTTGTGTGTGTGTGGGGAGCAGCACATGCTGGGAACCGGGCCCAGCGTCCCTTCTACACCAAATTAAGGTTTGGGGCCGGGGTCCCCACAGTCTGCCTGGAAAACACGAAACACTAAGTATCAAGTATCGGGAGCGTTTCCCGGCTTCGCTTCTGAAAAATTCTCTGTGCTGGAAAACGGGTCGAGCGTCCCAATGTAGACGCTACGACCATTGGCTCTGTGCTATTGCCCCAAGTGGCTTTCATCTATGGCCACAATGACTCACCCAAGTGTTTTTTTTTTTTTTAATATTTATTTCTAATCTCTTAATTCTTATTACAGATTCCAAATTTGAGGCCGGGGTCCTCACAATTCAACCCGGAGTATCTGACAGCATCAGCCAACTTAGCTTACAGGCAAACTGCCTGGGATTCCTCTATGTCCAGTCTCACCTATCTCATCATGCAACATGAGATTTTGTTTTTTTACAGGACCCAAGGAGGACCCGGTCTACCAAAAGAAAGACAATCCAACTAACTAGATATCTAACCTACCATCCTAAGAACAAGCAACATTAACGAAAAGTAGGGAGGTAGCCCTATCCCAATCCTTTATAAGAGCCTAGGTCTAACACAACATCCTATCTCCATTGTCAATGAGAAGAGCCGAAGAAACTTCCTACTCTAAGGTATTACCATCTCAAGAAACAGAAACCCAACCCTGTGTTCCTACTTTAGCTAAATTAAGAAAAAGGACTCACTTTCTATTGCAGCTAAATGGCTACGTACGCCAAGTCCCTGCGTCAGCGCATTATTTAAGAGCAAACGGAATTTGGTGGCCTATCGACGGCCTAATTGAATTGACAGCTGCATCCTTTTTGTCAACTGTTTTCCTGGAGTAGCCAATCTGCAAATTGCAAGTCCCCTTCCCCAGAAATTGAAACAAAATCCTTGGATTTTCCCCAAGTCCGGGAGAACCAGTATCGACTTTTTTTGGGATTGAGAGCGAGAAAACCAGTCCGCTCTGATTGTTTGCCTCATCAGGGTCTTTACCACAGATACCTGGTCCTGGAAGGTTGTCTTCTCTTGCTTGAAGGTTGCTTTGTTCCGCACCTTCCACAGGACCTCCATAACAACCCCTCGACAGGCCAAAGCTACATATGCCCTGCCCGTGGAGAAATCCAGGTCTGGGGAAGCCAAACCGTACAAAGACCACTCCTGAGACCAGGGGAAAGCATCTCTTACTATTTGCTTCCACCTATCTTTCCACCATTCCCATAACTGTTGGGAAAAAGGGCAGAACAACCAGATTTGAGAAGCCGATGGTATAACCAGTAGGGACTGGAGCCAGACTAGGCTGGCTTGCT